GCAGGTGCTGTGTTTACCTAATTAAAGGTTCCACATTGTAGTACTTTCAAAACACAGTGCTAAAAAGTGATGAATATTAAATAAACCTATTTAACAACAATCCTTTTCTTGTGTATGCAAAATAATAAACCACTGCTTCAAAAACAAAAGTAACAAATCAATCATCAACCATTAATCCCAACAGGTAGTGCAAGTGACGGTGAAACCACAGGCTGTGTAAGTAACTATTAATAGTGCTTCATATAACTTATTTATGTGCATATACAGTATTATCAAAATGTGAAGTGGTTACTCAGGGAACAGGAGGGTGCTAGATGCGGATTGCTGAGTGCATGGTCTAATATGCATATTGGATGCCTATTAGTAGGCGTGGTTTGATAAGTACACTGATGTTGCCTAAAAACCGGGGATCTGCAACTTTGGATTGGAGGAGGAAATCCCGGATCAACCCAGGAGAGTTAGTGGGCTACTTAGGATACAGGGATAGCGTTGCTGCTATTGGTGTGAGGGTAAGTGGAGGAGTTACCTTCTGGTTGTTGGAATGAGGGGGGCGGACCACTACCACTGTGATAGAGGGTGCTAGATACTGATTGATGGTAAGGATTGGCAGGGCATGTTGTTCTGAATTGAGTGTGTAATATAAAGTAAACGGAAGGAGACACAGCAGGCACTGCTCTTCATAAAAAGTCAGTGTATGATGGAATGCGTCAAGCAGAGCCTGTTGATGTCCCTACTGCTGGGATACCCCAAGGACTGTTTGTCTGATCACTGTTTTGGATCTGGATACTGTATACAGAGGATTGGAAACCTGTGCTTTTTGCTTTGGAGCATGCATGCCATTATGGCAAAAAGATGATGTAAGTACACTTGCTTTTAGAGATTATATTCAATATAATTTTTTTTATCCTATGAGGTGTTCTTTTGTTATGTTATATGAAGGATTATTGGACATTGCTGATAAGAGGGAATACGAGCCTCTGGAAAACGCATGTTGACCTATGTATATTTATACATGGTTGCAACATTTCTGGTGAGTCATTATAATAAGGGAAGCACGGTGGAAGATATCAACACTGTTGGATAATTGGCTGGAGTGTGATCAAGAGGAAGAATATCACTAGGACATTGTTTGCATAATTTGATAATACTGTACATGCACATAAGTAAGTGATATGAAGCACAACCTGTGGTTTCATTGTCGCTTGCACTACCTGTTGGGATTAAAGGAGAACTATGAGGTGAGTACTTTTCACTCACCTCATAGTTCTAGCCGACCTGTGACAATGAGACTGTCACAGGTCGGCTCAGTAGATCGGGAGGTGAGCGAACACATAGCGGCGTTCGCTCACCTCTCTGCCGTGACAGGGGGGAGGGGCTGGATTCCCCCCTCCCTGCTCCGAACCGCCATCGCTGACTGGCGGAACGGACGGGGAGGGGACGGGTACAGCTGGCTCTGCCTTCTAGATAGGCAGAGCCAGCTGTCAGTCACGCAGCTGGGCGGATCCCGGCACAATTGTCGGGATCCGCTTCAGCTGCAGCACCTCAGTATACCGCGAGCTACAGCTCGCGGTATACTGAGCCTAGGGTGACGGGAGGACGCTAGTTTGTGTCCTCCCGTTACCCAAAGGAGAACTATGGGGAAAAGCCTTAACCCCATAGTTCTCCTTTTAATGGTTGATTTTTTTATTTGTCACTGTTGTTTTTAAAGTAGTGGTTTATTATTTTGTGTGCATCGAAAAGGATTGTGGTAAACAGGTTTATTTAATATTTATCATATTTAGCGCTGTGTTTTGCGAGTACCACAGTAATAAAATCCAATTTTCATGTGCACCACAAGTTTTTACTTACTGTGTGCGACCATCTGATAGGTAGATCTTTTCGTTTTTAGAGCCTGTTCTATGCAAATGTAACCTGACCAACAGGAATAACTGTTACATTAAAAAAATGACTTATTATAGATATATTGGGCATTCCGTCTAACCATTGCTTGTTTATATTACACTATTACAGTTTCTCAAGTAGTGGCACCCCAAGGGAGAATACATACATGATCAGGGGTTTTTACTAGCCAATATAAACTCGCATACAGTTTTGGTAATTGTACATAAAGTATGTTTTATTTTGTATAAATTAAAAATATATGGTCACGTGATTTCAATAAATGTTCAGAAGTCAGTACTACTTAAGGCACCACCAAGGAGTACATGACTTGCACCTGATGTTGGAGATATATAATGCTTAATGCTCTGTGATATAAAGCTGAGCTATGAACATGGTATGTAAATGAGGCTTAGAAAACAACAGGGAACAGAGCGCCACCTCCGTGTGTAAAATCGTTTATTAGGATAAATAAAACAAGGGATATCTGTACTCACAAGCAAACGTTTTCATCACGCTTTAACAACAAACAAAAGGCCACACTGTCTGTTAACCCAACATGGTATCGCCCCGACTATGTAACACGGTAGCCTCCGGTCACATCACTATCCACCGGCTGCAGTCAGCCAAGATTGATGCATTTCAGGGGCAAGCCCCCTTCATCAGAATCATAGCTTGCTTTCCCTGAGAGTGGGGTATAAGAATGGAAACCTACCAATCGGAGAAAAACTCTCCATTATGACTAGTCTTAGAGTGATTGGCTCTACTGCAGTATTACAAGGAATTTGCTGTTATACGGCCGTATATGCCGCCCAATGATCACACAGCCTCTGTCTAATTAATCAGCCCGACATTCAAGTCCTGTGGAGATTTCAAATGCATGGGACGATCTTATATTATGAGCTAAGCAGTACTTCAGACTTAACACTGCTTATTACTCGGCAATATGCATCCAATCTACCCACATCTCTCAAGGAAAATTGAATAAGAAGTGAACAATATAGTTCATAATACATGTTACATTGGTGATTGCACCGTCATAGATAAATTGAAAATAAAAATAATTTATAGATAAATTGTAACATGTCCCTACATAAGGCTGACCAATACAACATGTGATAGCCTTTAGGGAGGCTATCACATGTTGTAAATAAAAATAAATTATTTACATTATTTTTATTTAAGAGGCTGTGTGATCATTGGGCGCCATATACGGCCGTATAATAGCAAATTCCTTGTAATGCTGCAGTAGAGCCAATCACTCTAAGACTAGTCATAATGGAGAGTTTTTCTCCGATTGGTCGGTTTCCATTCTTATACCCCACTCTCAGGGAAAGCAAGCTATGATTCTGATGAAGGGGGCTTGCCCCTGAAACGCGTCAATCTTGGCTGACGGTGGACGGTGATGTGACCGGAGTCTACTGTGTTACATAGTCGGGGTGATACCATGTTGGGTTAACAGACAGTGTGACCTCTCGTTTGTTGTTAAAGCCTGATGAAAACATTTGTTTGTGTATACATTTATCCCTTGTTTTGTTTATCCTAATAAACGATTTTACACACGGAGGTGGCGCTCTGTTCCCTTTTGTTTTCTATGTTCGTGGTGGAAGCCCCAGAGCCTTGGGTGAGCAGCCCCTCAAGTCTGTGTGAAAAACTGTGATAAACTGTTGAAAACTTTGATTATGCAACAGCAAGTGGATCGTTCAGCTGGCAGCCATTAGCGCCAAGAGTTAAAGAAAACTTTTTGTCTGATGTACATGAGGCTTGGCTAGGTTATACTTTAGGCAACGTCCAGCTGTGGGGTTTTTTTTTGTTTCATATAAATTTTTATTGCGTTAACATGGATTACAGGGTTACAAAACTGTGCGTATAAAGCTCATCTAAGACCATTGTACATGAATGCAGTATTTCCCCATGTAGGACCATTCTGCTGGACATTAACTGCGTAGGTAGGCTCTCAGCTAGGTAGAATACAATCTTTCATGTAATAACTACAGTGGGCACAGTGGATGTGATAAGTTATTGAATCGTCACGTAAAACCTGATGATGCATCGAAGAGAGTCTAGTACTGACGTGGTGACAGATGCTCGAAGCTGTCGGTATTTGTATTGCTTTTGCTGCGTTCACCC